GTGGGCAGATTACTTCGAAGACCTCCTCAACTCCACCAACACGCCTTCACTGGAGGAAGCAGAGTCTGAGGACCCTGAGGTGGGCTCTCCTGTCTCTGTGGTTGAAGTCACCGATGTGGTTAAAAAGCTCCTCGGTGGCAAGGCCCAAGGGTGGATGAGATCCGCCCGGAGTTCCTCAAGGCTCTGGATGTTGTGGGGTTGTCCTGGTTGACACGCCTCTGCAACATCGCGTGGTCAGCGGTGAGAGTAACTCTGGATTGGCAAACCGGTGTGGTGATCCCTCTTTTTAAAAAGGGGGACCGGAGGGTGTGTTCCAACTACAGAGGGATCACACTCCTCAGCCTCCCTGGTGAGGTCTATTCAGGGGTGCTGGAGAGGAGGGTCCGTTAGGAAGTCAAGCCTCAGATTGAGGAGGAGCAGTGTGGTTTTCGTCTCGGCCGTGGAACAGTGGACCAGCTCTACACCCTTAGCAGGGTCCTCGAGGGTATGTGGGAATTCGCCCAACCAGTCTACATGTGTTTTGTGGACTCTGAGAAGGCGTTTGACCGTGTCCCTCGAGGAGGTCTGTGGGGGGTGCTTCATGGGTATGGGGTACCGAACCCCCTGATACGGGCTGTTCGGTCACTATACCACCGATGTCAGAGTTTGGTTCGCATTGCCGGCAGTAAGTCGGAATCGTTTCCAGTGAGGGTAGGACTCCGCCGAAACTGCCCTTTGTTGCCGATTCTGTTCAGCACCTTTATGGACAGAATTTCTAGCTACAGCCGAAGCATTGAGGGGGTCCGTTTTGGGGGCCTCAGTATTGCATCTCTGCTTTTTGCAGATGATGTGGTACTGTTGGCTCCTTCAAGCAGTGCTCTCCAACTCTCACTGGTGCGTTTCGCAGCCGAGTGTGAAGTGGGTGGGATGAAGATCAGCACCTCCAAATCTGAAACAATGGTCCTCAGTCGGAAAAGGGTGGCGTGCCCCATCTGGGTCGGGGAGGAGATCTTGCCTGCCCCAAGTGGAGGAGTTTAAGTATCTTGGGGTCTTGTTCACGAGTGAGGGCAGGAGGGAGCGAGAGATCGACAGGGCGGATCGGTGCAGCGTCTGCTGTGATGTGGACGTTGTATTGGTCTGTCATGGTAAAAAAGGAGCTGAGCCAAAGGGCGAAGCTCTCAATTTACCAGCCGATCTACGTTCCAAACCTCATCTATGGTCACGAGCTATGGGTCGTGACCGAAAGAACGAGATCCCGGATACAAGGGGCCGAAATGAGTTTTCTCCGCAGGGTGTCCGGGCTCTCCCATAGAGATAAGGTGAGAAGCTCGGTCATCCGGGAGGGGCTCAGTGTCGAGCCGCTTCTCCTCCACATCGAGAGGAGCCAGATGAGGTGGCTTGGCCATCTGATTCGGATGCCTCCTGAACGCCTCCCTGGTGAGGTGTTCCGGGCATGTCCCACCGGGAGGAGACCCCGAGGACGACCCAGGACATGCTGGAGAGACTATATCACCCAGCTGACCTGGGAACGCCTCGGGATCCCCCGGGGAGAGCTGAAAGAAGTAGCTAGGGAGAGGGAAGTCTGGGCTTCCCTCCTAAAGCTGCTGCCCCCACGACACGGCCCCGGATAAGCGGTAGAAGATGGATGGATGGATGGATATTGACCTCAAGGCTCCCTTTGACACAGTGGACCACAGGTCCCTCTGGAACATCTTAAAATCCCTCGGAGTCCCAACCAAGATCACCACACTCTTCAAACAACTGTACCAAGGTGCAGAAAGTTGTGTACATGTGAATGGCCAAGAGTCCGAGTGGTTCCCCATCAACAGCGGGGTAAGGCAGGGATGTGTTGCCGCTCCAGAGCTCTTTAACTGCGTCACTGACTACCTGATGTCAAGAGTTTGCGAGCGGATCCCTGGAGTGCCAACTGCATCCTAAAGGACCTCGAGTATGCTGATGACACCGTCCTGTTCAGCGAGATTGCCGATCAGCTTCGTGAGGCCCTCAGAGTGTTTGATGAGGAGTCCAAAAAGCTTGGACTCAAGATAAGCTGGGCCAAGACAAAACTGATGCATGTTGGCGATGGACCTGACCCACCACCTTTTGTATTTGATGGCACCCCTGTCCAATTTGTCTCCACCTTCAAATATCTCGGCTCGACAGTGACCAACATTGGAGACCTCAAAACAGAGATCGACTGTCGCCGCGCCCTTGCAGCCAATGTCATGCAGTACTTGTGGAGACCACTGTGGCGCCACCGGCACATATCCCGGGTAACAAAGCTCAGAGTCTACAATGCCTCAGTCATCTCCGTCCTCCTGTATGGCTCCGAAACCTGGCCACTGAATAACACTCTCGCGGCCAGGCTTGATGGCTTTGACTCGAAGGCCCTCAGGAGGATTGAAGGTATCTCGTGGACCGGGCACATCACAAATCGGGCTCTAAGAGACAAAACCAAACAGCCACCAGCCTCCCGTCTTGCCGCAATGCGGCGAGTGCGATGGTATGATCATGTCATCCGCCTACCCCAGGAACACCCAACCAGCACCATCTTGGCCTTCAAACCCCAGCATGCTGGCTGGAGACGACCCAGAGGTGCCCCCCGCACTCCTCGCTGCGCATCTTTAAAACCCGCCTCAAAACTCACTTGTATTCTTTGGCATTTGACTCAGCATGACTCAGATTTGTTCTTGGTTTTGCTGTTCGGTGCTTTCTACAATCTTTGTTACCGATTTGTTGTTTTACTGTTGTATATGTTAGTTGATCCATGTACAGCAATTTGTATGCAGCGATGGCTGTTTGAAAGTGCTCTATAAATACAGTTGAGTTGAGTTTTGTGTTCTGAATAGACGACATCATACTGTCTTTGATGATTGGCCCTCATTTCATGAATAAATCCGGAGAAACGCCAGCAGACAGACAGGGCGGCGCATATGCTCATAATCAACATTTAAAAATGTTTACAGTATTAGGTCAGTCATCCACTGCCATGCTCAATAATTACATTAGTCGTGCAGTCTTGCATGTCATGGAGTGTCCGAATTAATGGATCCTCATATATCAGAAACCCAGCAATGGAGTAAATCAGTGCAGAATTCTACTTTTTTCCGCTTTGAAGTGAGGTAGCAGAATGTTAGTCTGTTTTTGTGCTGCTGTTTATTTATTTAGTTGCTGTGTATTAATTTAGTCAATCCCAGCCATTTTCACTGGAGCAAGCCCCTCAATCCCTGCCGTTTTACTGGATTTAAGACTGATTTACAAGGCCCACATATGTGTTGTTTTGCAATATAAACATGTAGCCCCGATGTTCTCCCCATACCTGCATGAGTTTTCTCCCGATACTCCGGTTTCCTCCCACATTCCAAAAATATGCTTGCTCGGTTAATTGAACACTTGAAAGTGTGAGTGTGAATGATTGTTTGTCTTTGTCCCCTGGGACTGGATGGCAACCAGTTCAGGGTACCCTGCCTAACACCCGAAGGCAGCTGGGAAAGGCTCCAGTATGCCCGCGACCCTCGTGAGGGGGGAAAAAAAAGAAGGGATGACACCCCACTAGGAATTTTTGTATATATGGGCATGTTTAAAATACTTTACATATTTGCGACAGACTACAGCAGTACATGGATGTACTTCAATCTTTAATGATAAAACCTTCTACAGTAATTAACATTCATCAGCATTGCCTTCTTAGAGAGACACAGAGACTTGTATTTGTGGCATCGAAGGTGGCTCTCACTTTTCGCTCTGTCGGCGAAGCCGCCGTTAGCCTCCAGCTAGCTCCTGGCCAGCTATCCACGCGTAGCCGATGTGTTTATGACAAGACAATTAATCAGTATTGATGAGGAGGAGGCGAAGAGAGATGTGCTGCTTTTTTTCGGACAAGCCTAATCTCTCTCTCTCTCTCTCTCTCTCTCTCTCTCTCTCTCTCTCTCTCACTGAGAGAGAGAAAAAGAGAGATAGATATGACACTTGAATCAGGTGTGCAGGAGGAGGGATAGCGGCTCTTGAAGACTGGATTTGGACAAGGCCACAGAAGTCATAACACTATGACCCCTGTTTACA